ATGCATCCAGGAGCTACTAAAATGTATCATACCATTCGACCGTTTTATTATTGGCCGGGTATGAAGAGGGAAATAGCTGAGTATGTGAGTAGGTGTGCTGTTTGTCAACAAGTTAAGGCGGAAAGGAAGAAGTCGTTTGGGTTGTTGCAGCCGCTTCCCGTTCCAGAGTGGAAATGAGAAAACATTACTATGGATTTTGTGTACAAGCTTCCGCGTACACATAATGGCTTTGATGGCATTTGGGTGATTGTTGATCAACTTACTAAGTCAGCACATTTCATTCCAGTGAGGGAGAAGTATTCTTTGGGCCGATTAGCTGAGTTGTTCATCTCGAAGATTGTGAAGTACCATGGTGTCCTTGTGAGTATTGTCTCGGATCGTGATCCACGATTTACATCTAAGTTTTGGGTGGCATTTCAGGAAGCTTTGGGTACGAGACTACTTTATAGTACGGCGTATCATCCTCAGACGGACGGACAGTCAAAGAGAACCATTCAGACTTTGGAGGATATGTTGCGAGCTTCGGTATTACAGTTTGGTGATGCTTGGCACAAGCGGTTGGATTTAATGGAATTTGCCTACAACAACAGCTTCCATTCGAGTATCGGCATGGCACCATTTGAGGCATTGTATGGTAAATCTTGTCGCACACCATTGTGTTGGTCAGAGGTCGGAGAAAGAGTCTTAGTGGGTCCGAAGATCGTTGAGGAGACTACTCAAAATGTTCAGGTAATTAAATCTAACCTGAAGGCAGCCCAGGATAGGCAGAAGAGTTTAGCAGATCGGCATGCTACTGACAGAGTGTATGAGGTTGGCGATTGGGTATTTCTGAAGCTTTCACCATGGAGAGGCGTGGTACGGTTTGGAAAGAAAGGTAAGTTGAGTCCCAGGTACATTGGACCATACATGGTCACTAAGCGAGTTGGCGAGGTAGCTTACAGGTTGGAGTTGCCTCCGGAGTTGGTTAGAGTACATAACGTTTTTCACGTGTCCATGCTTCGACATTATGTTGCTGATCCGTCTCATGTGATACCTCATCAACCCTTGGAAATTAATCCGGATTTGACTTATGATGAGGAACCAATGACAATACTAGATTGGAAGGAAAAGGTTCTGAGGAACAAGACGGTGAACTTAGTGAAAGTTTTGTGGAGAAATCATTCCGTGGAAGAAGCTACGTGGGAAACGGAAGATCGGATGAGGGATTTGTATCCTCGGTTGTTCTTTGATCACTAGGGGTTGTTGTATGGTTGTTTTGAATTTCGGAACAAAATTCTAATAAGGTGGGTAGGTTGTGACAGCCCGTTCCGAAAATTTTTAAAACGTACGCGTGAAAAGACGATTTTGCCCCTAGCGTGAATTTTTACGTTGTGTGGTTGTTTTGAGCTTGGTGTGGCTGGTTTTGCACCACACATTTTTCCCCACACCTTCCCTTCACCCTTTCCCCTATCCCTGCACCCATCCCATGCCATTTCCCTTCCCATTTTCATACCCATGTGTACGGACACACTCCAAAACCACCCAAATCTTCACAGATCGAAGAAACAAAGTACATATCCATGTTCATGAGGTCCATTGGAGTTCAACCATACCCATTTCAGGTAAGGATACCTTCATTTTCACGTCGAACTCGGGATACCCGATTTTTGGTACTGTTCATGCACACGTAAATTCTTATGTTTTTGGGAATTTCAAGCTTGTAGGAAGCTTGGTGAGGTCCTTAGGAGGCTCGGGGTGGTTCGTTTGAAGGTTTTGAACGTCGGGATCTCGAGTTTCGAGGTTGGCCGGAGTTGGGGGTATTTTCCTGGTGAGATTTCGTGGATTTTAGCACTTGAAAGTGGTATGATTTTGTTCCTCTCATTGTAAGCTTCAATTTGGTACCAATTTTGTGAAATTTGGTTGAAAAACGAAGAAGATATCACGATTTGAAAATTTCCCAATTTTCCGGCGCCGGAGCCTCGCCGGAGAAGACGATGGAATATTCCTAACGCCGTTGACGGAATCCGTTAAAGTTAACGGATTATTCCTAACGGCATTAACTGACGCCGTCAACGTGCCAGGCACGTGCCTGCGCGTGGCCGGCGCGTGGGGGCGCGTGCGGCGGTGAAAATTTTTTCTAAAAATATGGGGATGTTCCTGAGGTTGAGTAGATCACGTTGGTGTATTCATACACCCCATTTGAGCATTGTATGAGAAGTTATTTCTTAAGATTGGTTATGTGCTTTAAAATTAACGTTTTTATAGTTGTTTCGCATATAGGTGATACCTATCCCGAGGACGAGCATGGTCACTCGAGGCAAGGGGGTTACGACCCTTCCACATACCAGTGAGTGGGCTTTTGGTTTTCCGTATATACCTATATACTTATACTTTTCCCAGAATTTGAATTAGAACGTTTATTCGTTTATATGCCATGCCTAGTTTGCCGTTGTTTATGCATTGTTAATTGTTTATATATATATGCATGTTTGGTGCTGCGGACGCACAGGTAAGTGCCAGGTGAGTTGTGATTCATGTTTACTTTCCGTAATGATTTGAGATACATGGAGAGCTCATAACCTGCAACCCCTGTGTTAGTGCTCCCGCCCAGAGTTGGGCACAGTCCTTCACGTGATGTTCACCTCCCACACCACACGCTCAGCTTGGATCCAAGTTAGGTGCACAGTCCTGTTGTACAGACCACTTTAGGTGGTTCCGACTCGTAGGTGACCCGCGATTATTCGCCCAGCCTTCACGTGATCGTAGCACTTGAGCGTATATATATGTTACACCCAGGATTGTTGTACAGACCACTTTAGGTGGTTCCGACTCGTGTGCAGGTATAGCTAGTGAGATGGAGATTTGAGCTCTAGATTCAGCCGTACAGGTCACGTTAGGTTACTCCGGCTGACAGATTATATGATATTGATGCGATATTACCTGAGCACTTGCATTTTACTTTGAGGTTTTGGCATAGCATATTCCTGAGCATGAATTATATATATGTATATATTCTATTTTCTGTGAAGTATACAGGTTTTACGGCGACGGGTTAGAACTTATTTATTAAATGGTTTTCGAAAAGCTTTGTTTTTGCCCACTCACGCTTTTGTTTTGCGCCCCTCCAGGTTCTAGTTGGCTAGCACGTTTGGTGGTTTCCCTGAGGATTTCCCCGGCATCTCTGACAGGCGATCACCAATGTAAGACCACCTTCGGGTGTGCTTTTGTTGCGTCGTTTTCTCTTGGACTGCATTAGGCTTTCATGCTCTGAACTTAGTGTCGCACTTACGCTAGCACTTGTTTGTTATTACTTTGTGTAAAGCTAGTTTTTATTTATTCGTACTATTTATATTACTATTTTATTAGCTTCCGCACTGTGCACATGGTTACGTCACTTCCACGTGACGGCTAGCATGCCCTGATCTCGATCGGGGTGTGTCAGTTTTGCCAATTTTTGGCAAAAAAAAAAAAAAAAAGAAGCACCTGTTAATGTTATATGCTCCCAATAAAAAGCACTTCAAGTAAATTTCTAATGTATTTTTATTGAAAATATATGTGTCGATTTTAGACAAGAATTTTCAAACAAACCGCTTACATAGTTATTTACTAATTTTCACAATTTCTATTTGTCAATTATCTCTCTCTTATCAGCATTCCCGCATTGCAGGTAGTGGATGTCCAAGTTCTTAAACTCACTCAAATATAACCCTTACCATTTTATACACAGATGTGTTTCTCTCTCTCTCTCTTCCAGTTCACACCATACAACCCCAGGTCCCCCGTCTCGTGGCCACCCTCTCCATCCCCTCCCAGTCACACGAAACAACCCGACACGCTCTGCCTCTCCCCGACCTCACCCGTCACCCTGCACGTGGAGGACAGGTGGTTTTTTTCTTTTCCCCCTCAGTGCCTTCTTCGCCTTCTTCGCCTTCTATATTTTCGTTACTGTAATAACCTTGCTAATCATTGTTGTATATTTTCTTTAAAGTAATCTTTGTTTTTTTTTTAACAAACAATATTATATACATTAAGAAGGAGGGGTCAACTTAGCTTCATAATGGACTGGCAATAATGCAGTTCAAATTCGCCTTTGGCGAAAATCAAACCTAAACTCTCATTTATAAGTGAAGAGGAATATCACTAAACCATAATATTAGACGACTACTCTTACTAATTCTTACCTTCTTTATTCTGCTAATTTTGGATTATTTTGTTTTAGGGGTTTTATGTCTATCTTTTTCGGTGAAGCCTTGTGACCCCAAAATAGGGGTGTGGCTTTCTAATAGTAAAGATGTGAAAAATATTGTACTATACAAGGATGGTCTTTCTATCATTTTCTATTAATAAATATATTTTAGACTCACAAAATAAATACATTTGCAAATAATACGTTGTAATAAAAGTGGGTTACTATCATTTCATATGAAATAACAAAATTTATTTCTAGGGTTTCAACTTTCTAAACTCACCAAATTTCAAATTGAATTTTACTTTCCAAACATTGTTGTTAATATTTAGTTTATAATCTTCTTCAATTCATTTGATTTAATAACTAGCAATTGAAAAAAGTGTATAAGAAGTAAAAACGGATGTAGTTAGCACTACCCATGGCTAATAATAAGCCGTAATAAGACACCTGTACTAAAAGGCGTTAAAAACTCTTTACAAGTTTCACTTTTTTCCAATTTTGAATATTGTTTGTTCTTGAGAATTGTTGGAAACTTGGAAAGCTCGCAGTACAAGCAAAACAGGAGATCACCAATATTCAAATTACTACAAGATTTTATTAAAAAAGTTCATTTCTTCTTTATTCTGCACACACAATGGTGATCTATAGGAATCAACAAGCTGGACAGCAAGTCTTAAACGGAAAAAGGGAAGCCGGAGTTTAAGTCACCAACCGGAAACACAAACTGAAACATAGACAAGACCATATGGTTCCTTTTATTCGGGCTGGAAGCGGAGAATATGTTTTACCGCGACTGAATTTGCTTCAAAGATGTTCACTGTACTGAAAGGACTCAGAAATTGACAAAACCCTTTTCCTTCAGACTTTCAACTGTTTCCTTGAGGCTGACATCTAGTGGAATAAATTCGATACCCAAGCTCTTCGCCTTGTCCTTGGACACCTGATATGTTGGCACAAAAGGCTTGTCGTCTGCACACCTGGAAATGCCAGTTGAAAAAGAAAATAACACAAATTAATTTCCATGGAACCACCAAATCAAAACAATCGGGAAAATGACGGGGTTTAACATAGTTTCTAGAAGCATAAGAAAAGAGGAATGTTGGAATCAACACACACTATCAAGAACAATGCAGGTCATGCTAGGAATTTATATTTTACTTTTAATTTATATAAATGAAGTTGTTAACCTGCAAATTGCAAGAAAATGGATGATTATGAAAATATCTATTGCCTTGAGCCCCGTTATATGGTGAAAAAATTAGCAACGATTATGTGTGCTTTAATCAAACTTAGTTGACAAAGGTATGCAAAATGAAGAGCATCTATAGGCAGTAAAAGTGCAGCAACTTCAACTTCAGCGTGATTGAAAGGTGAGAAGGATGCGAAATGAGGGCATATTGTGAATGCAAAATAACCAGTAAAACCAAAAATACCATAAAATTTCAAATACAGCAATGCTCATTTACGTCGTAAATTGCAATTTAATATGAAAAAAAAAAAAAAAAAACGATTAGTATCGGAATCATGGGACAGTGGAAAATATGAAGTGACTATTACCAATCCCAAAGTTATACCCAAATTTAAATTGGCTGGGAACACAGACTTACTTCTCTGGAAGTTGCAAAGTAGGGTACAGCTCACGTAAAACTCTCACAACTTCTGAGAAGTGGGCAACTCTCTCAACCAAACAATATCTGCCACTAGCGGTAGGCCTCTCAAATGCTTGAATATGTGCATTGGCAACATCTTTAACATTAATCCATCCAAAACTTGCATTTGGAAATGTTCGAGCTCCTGCATCACACAAAGAAGTGAAGAATTAGTCAGGTACTTCATGGAGAAAGAGAGCACCAAGTATTAGACTAAAAGTTGGAACATTTTTATCAATATATTTAACAGAAACTGTTTGTTTCACTGAACGGTATCCAAGTAAGATACTGCAAGTTCAGATATAAAACACCTCTGGTCGGGATGCTAAGAGGTAAGAGATAACTAACAAAACTTGAAATTATTTTTTGAAATATATACAGTAGAAGAAAATGGGAGAAAAAGGCCACCATAGGGCATCACCTGGACTCAACATGAAGAAACAACCAATTTAAATTATCATCTAATGTTCTATTTAAGACATTTAGTCTTTCTTCTAGCTTGTTGAGCAGAAACGTTTTACTTGTTGATATGAAGAAATGTTACAAACACCAGTAAAGAAACATTACCCTTAATAACATTTAAAATTGCTGCAGCACTTGTATTAAGAGTTGGCTGTAACAGAGGACCTATCACCATTGCGGGGTTAATTGTAACCAAGTCAATACCCTTCTCCTTTACAAATTTCCATGCAGCATCTTCAGCCAAAGTCTTTGAAAGCACGTACCAAAGCTGGAAAAAATTAAGGGAAAAAAGAAATGAAAACATATTTTGTTACAAAATAATGAAAAATTCACCACCATATTAATGCGAAATAGTAAAGAATCCCCATTCTAATCAACACAGAAGCCAATAAAATCTTTCACGAGGCACTTAAAACCTTAAAGGACTGGCATAACATTTCCTGATGCAGATCAATAACATGAAATAAATGCATGGCATTGAGAACACATCAAAATCCCACATGTTTAGTGACTAAATTATACCTATTGGCATGGGAACCTCCAATCACGAAAAACTGGTTTCGGCCATGGAATAGAATAAATGAAATCTTGAGTACTAACCATTAAACAATGAAGAAATCTCATTTCTTAAATTCAACATGGAAGCACAAGTATTACACCATATTCTTAGGTACCAGAGTTCATAGATTGAGAACATGCAAGCACATAGCAAAATGTAACATAAGACTGAGAGATTAAGATGACAAGACATCACAACATAAGAAACAACTAACATGGTCAACATATATGCTTTTTTAACTTACAATAAGGAAAACAGACTCTCAGGGAAGTTTCTCACACAAAGTGATCTATAATACTTTTAAACCCTTATTTGGTAAGAAGGAAAAGAGTTATATATCTTTTAGGTTCCAATTGATTCAGCTCTCCAAACCATAATTTCATGTTCCATGTAAAGACATATATGCACTCATCCATATATTTCAGAAGGTTATATTTATCAGAAAATGGATGAGTCAACTGAACTTTAAAATGTGCATGTGACAAAGGAACCAGTTTCTCCATTCACTTCTAAATCCTCTTCTCTACCGTACACTTTCATCAACCATTAAATAGAACAAGAGAAACTTGCATATTATAAACAGATCCATTGTTTGTTCATAAACAAGTAGGCTCACAAGTCACAACCATATTATTCTGGGTTGGTTAACTCTCGGGGAATAGAAACCAAATTCAAAAAATGATACTAACTTACCGCTGTACCATTACAACACAATGACTAACAATGTATCACCACATTTTGTTTTCACAAGAGCACTAAGAATGATAGTATGCATACCTTTGATTCCTTACAAACATCGGGATCTGTAAACCAAGTCTCATCAACTACGACATCAGGAGTTCGAGGCTTTCCATTATATGCTACAGCAGCCATAGAAGATGTCAAAACCACCCGTTTGATTGATGGTGATTTCACACACGAATTAAGAACATTAAGGGTCCCCTTTACTGCAGGTTCAAGTAGTTCTGCCTGAAATGAGGCAACAACTATGTAGCAGTTAAAAACCATACAAACCAGCTACCTATTAGTATGCAAAAGCAGAATGCTAACAATATGTTTGCAGGTGCTTTTAAAATGGTTGAAAGTGCTTTTCATGAAAGTGCTTTTGGAACCAATCCTTAGTAAAAATGCAAGTGAATCCTGGAAAAGCATTGCAAGCGCTTCCAGCAAGAAGCACATAACTGGTGCTTCTTCCAAAATGCACTTCAAGTGCTTTTTTAACCCAAAAACACTATCAAACTCCTGAGTTTGTTTCATAACGCAACTAGGTAAATATGTAAATAGATGTTCTTGTATGTTTTGACTGAAAAAGCATTCAAATACTTCAGTTAGAAGAACAAAAAGGGGCATTTTCCAATTAAGAGAAAATATATCTTTAGTATGTTGTTGGAGACGTTACCATTTCTCTCTTATGATATATATGCCTTATATCAACCTATAATTATGACCTCTCAGCTCAAGTGATATTTAATTCACTGTTCCAGAGGATCTGAAATAATGGTTCATGGTGTACCACACTAATTAAAAGAGGACATTACAGGTGCTGAACCACATAGCCTATGAGGCAGATGCCACAATTGACTTCACGCCTATATATTTAATTGTGAGATAAAATTGAAAAGTCCTCTTGAGTGCATGTCTAATTCCTAGTGTTTATGATTTCAACAAGTAGATGCATAATGATGAATTTAATAATTATATTGTTAATATGGGCTTTAGTCGTCGGTAACTTAAAGTTTTTTATACTACGAATTATATAACTTATAAAAAAAGAAGCTAAGTACCTTCAGGAACAGAGAAGAATCTAACGCACAGACAAAAAAGATCATAATTCATTTGAAAAAGTGTTAGTGGATGAACCTTTGGGTCTGTGACATCATTATAAAAGGGAGATGCAGTATGGAATACGCCTTCACAACCCGCAACAGCAGAGTCAAAAGAACCTTCTTCCAACAGATTTGCTTTGAAAAGTTGAAGTCTGTCTTGAGCTCCATCAAGCGCATGCAGGTGCTCTGTCTTAGTTGGATCATCTATGTGAAAATACAAAATGAACTCGGTAAATTAATTTTTTTTAATACTAGCCGCATTTATTAACTTATAAACAGGAAGTCAGAATAAAGTTTTGCCTATCATTTAGATGAGTGGCCCAATTAATGTGATCTTACTTGAAACCAAACAATATGGTATTGGTTCAGCACCCAAGCATAATCATACCAACCTGTACCTATCCTATCTAAACCAATAAAACCATAGCAAACGGAAATATGTCACGTCCATGCATAGAACTTGGCACTGCAACACCTGCTAATAAGCTAAGGACGCCCAACGGCTCTTAGACTATAGAGAGCAAGAATAGATGGAAAGCCTAATACATACTAGACAACTATATCAAGGCTAGCATCACCTCCCGTTCTTAAAGTTAGTACCCATGCTAATCGAACTTTCCATAACTAGAATACTTCACCAGTTCTTATACTAAAGTAACAAAAGGGGTCTTTTAACATCAAATCAAAATCAACACGTATAACCAACAAGGAAAGCACATAAAAGCAAATCATTTGTTGAAGGTCGAACCCAAAATTGGGTAGGCACAAACAAGCACAGTTTTACATGAAGAGGAAAAACCAACCAGTCATGTCCATATCTCCGATTTTCCATTCATTCTGATGCAGTTAATGACTTAATTACTTGATCAATTTTGCAAAAATAATACCCATAAAAGCAACACATCTCTAAACTGCAATTCCCTCACTTCCACACCTCAAGAAATGAAGAATATGACCCATCAATTTCAAAGCAATACCCACAAACAGGTTCTCAAAATCCCAGAAAACCATCAAAATCTTCAATCAAGACAAAGAATAATCAATCAAATATTACAATTTCTGAAACATGGGTATTCACCAATTCCGCATGCATTAATCTAAATTACAAGAATCGATACGATCACACGCCAAAACGAACAAGAAAAACCGAAACTTGACGAGAGCAAAGGGAGGGAGAAATGTACAGACTTGGGTCGCGAATAGAGGCCTTGACGGTGTAGCCGCGCTGGAGAAGAAGCTTAACGAGCCATGAAGCAATGTATCCGGACGCACCGGTGACGCACACGACCTTCCCTGCTCCGCTGCTCATCTCTCTCTCTGCTCACTCTCTAAATTTCGAAGCCCCTTTTATTGACGATTGAATTTTGTCGGTTTGCGAATTGTCGCGCAATGGCATTCGCAAGCTATAAAATATGATCTCGTTTTCGTTTTCGTTTTCGCTTTTATTTTTTTAATATATACTTTATTCTCCATTTGTACGTGAAAAATCAAATTTGATAATGGGTTTGTTATGCATGACCTAATTACATGCGAATCCCCTTCATTAGATCATATAGTCATACTACATGACCTACTTTTGAGTGTCCCGACTCAAATGGTACCAATCAAGTGTTTTATTTTTAGTTCAAGAGGTGGAGGAACAAATTGATTACGAACTCATTATTTACGTTTCAAACATAAAACCTTTCACTTGTAAGGAAAGCAAAATCCTACTAAATCGTAATATTATTTAACAATTTAATAATGTTTTTTTATTTATTCATTTAGACAAAAATCTGTCACCAAGCCGTTGGTACCAAATTAATTACATTAGATGGCAAAGTCAGACCATACTAGAGACTGGTGAGCGAACAGGATTCTCTTCGAACCTTTTTTATGGAGATATGGATAATCAATTAATCGTGTTTGTTTATCGTACATCGTATTATAGATTTTTATTAAGTACTGTTTGTATTCAATTTAAATAAAATAATTTATGATTGCACAATTTACGATAAATAAACACGGTTGATTAATTCTCCGGATCCCCAATAAGAGGATCCGGATAGGATCCTAATCCAACGATACCAATTGTGTGATGTGATGGAATTCTCCAAATGCCCCCGCCCTTTAGTGTCCCTTGGCAAGCTTTTGTGACACCTGTCTGCTCTCAAAACACTTTAAAATTGTGAAGTTCATTTGAAACTTAAATAGAAAAAGGAGGTTTTTATAATAAAACGTATCGAAAGTGATTAAACTCTTTATTTTTGTCCTATAATCTCATAATCGATAAATGTCGTTTTTGAAATTGATTCATGCACATTAATTTGGTCATTACTGTTAAAATTCGTTAAATTTCTTATGACTAAAAGCACCTTAATCTTTTATTGTCATTTTAAATTGGTCTCAATCTTTTTAAATATTTTTTAAACAAGTATGTAAAGTATTAAAAATACTACATTCGTCAAGCCCAATTTATATTCCAAACATAAATTATTTCCAAAATCCACAAAATTAGGTATATTATGGTCAACAATATTAGTCGCATTAAAATTTGAATTTCAAACATATATTATGTGATATGGAACCCAATAAACAAACGGGTATTGAATTGAATAAAAAATGGATTCATATTGAAATTATATTAGGAGGGTGAGCATCCACTAACGAACGGTCACCATTAGCCCCATCATGCCATCACCTCCAAGCCCAACACAAAACCAGTAACTACACGCTACAACTCTAGCCACCAACATCAAGGAAAAGGTCATGGATGTTATTGAAATGGAATGGACTCCCATATGCGGCCACATATCTTTTTATAGGATAACCCCATCCTCGAGCCTGGGACATTAATCTTTTTTTATAGTTGTGCCCTCGTTGATTTCGGCTTTACCATCTTCACTGCCCACAAAGAGGAACTGAAAGTTTTTTGAACCAAGAATCGGCTTATGAGGAAATCACATAAGTAGAAATAAGCTCCTTCAAACCTCATTTGAATTCTTAACCATCTTCTATGTTAGACAAGGTAATTTAATAGATTTTTAGCTAGGGCTTAATGAATGCGATATTTTCAATAAGTTGGTACTTATTTAGAATGTTTAAAACAGTGAAAACCAATTTAAAATGACACTAAAAGATTGGGGGATTTTAGCTACTCAATCCAATTTTTTATTGATATACTAATTATTTACTCTCGATGATTCGACAAAAAAAAAATATATAAATAAGGCATGAGTAATTTGATCTCCGGCATCACCGCTGCTCCCGAGAATAGCTAGCACTGAACTTCGTCACTCCTTCCAGTCCCGCCCCTTGAAGGTGTTCGTCTTTATGCAACCTCCAGCAACAACAACTCACTGAGTCACGGGCCGCACAAGAGATTGCAAGCCATCAACCAATAACCTCAAATTCGTCAACATGGCAACGCCGATCCTTCATTCGAAGGTTTCATTTTCGATATTTCACCAGAGATGGCAGCGCTGTCGCCTTCGGGAGCAAATCCTAGGTCACGAGCGCTGTAAAATTCTGCCTTTTGAATTTTTTGTTTTTCCTTTTTATTTTATTTTTACAAATTTTAGGACTTCTAATAATTTAAATGAATATTTATTTTTTATAATTCGTGCGGCATTATATTATTGAACTTATAGACTATAAATATGTATAATGTCAGCATATTAACATAATAATTGACAAAACTCTAACAAAATAACCAAATTAATACGCGAGAATCAATTTCAATGACAACATGATTGATTTTTAAATTGTGGATCCAAAATAAATAGTTTGGTCACTTCAAGGACTATTGTGATAAACCCTTTTCTTAATAGAAAAATTATATTCCTTTAAATTCATATCAACTTCTATACCCATACCAAGAAGCACTTACAAAGATTGTTTGTGTTAAACCATTTTCTTAATTGAATGTGATACTAATAATATAAGGCTTTATTTGGAAGTTCTTTTAAAATTATTGAAAACACTTATAAAGAAAATATTTTTGAGTTCCAAAAGCATTTGAAGTGTCTCTTGCAAGAAGCACTAGAGTTATATGTTTATTGTAGGAACACGCTAAAGTCATCAAAAAAATTTATCCTTTGGCACGAGGAAGGATTTCTACTCTTAACAACCTCAACAAGAGAGATATAGGGTCATATCGAGGCAACCAAGGGTGAGTGTGTCTCCAACTATTATGATTTTGGGGTCAAACCTCACTCTTTTAGAGGGTGGGATAAAGTATTGAAGAAAAGGCTACCTGGGCAAAGACTCAAACGGAAGAACCATTACTATTATTAGTGAGCATACACACTAAAACTGTTTTAACCTTCAACCAATCGAGATCCTTTGTAACACAAACCATTCGGCAAATACTTAATGAAGAAGCAATTCAGACAACTTCGCCTATCTCTTTTAATTTCCAGACAATGAAACACTTGGCCTAACTCTGGCCTAACTCTATACTCTAGCTCAGAGCTTTGGCATGCATAGGTTATCACAAAGTAAATAAAACTAAGTGGTGCGACCAACATAGTTCGACAAGAGAGCAACATTATGATGCATATTCATATATTTCATTAACCCAAACCATGGGCCATATATCCAAACAATGAATTCGTTCATACATAACAAAACATTCATAAGCGACACGCATACATGAACATCATTCATGTCATAAGCATCACTCATATCGTTCAACATAACCATTATACGTTTCAACATATACATACATAAGCCAATTGAGCTTCGAAAGGATGTCAAATAAATTTTTATCACAAAATATCTCCAAAATTTATTAAACTTTGAAGTCCATTTAGAACTTAAATAGAGAAATAGTTTTTTTTTATTTTTATCACAAATGGTCTCTAACTAGACTTCTTATTTTGGTTCCTTAATTCAAAATTGATCAATTTCGTCCTTGAAATCGACTCACGCGCATTAATTTGGTCTCTGCCATTAAAATTTATTTATTATTTTTTTAATTTGCTGATTTAGAACATCAGTGGGACCCATTGCACAAATATAAGATACCATGTGGGTTATACCAAAAATATTTTTTTTAAATTTCTTAAAATTCTAAAAACAAATCAAAAGATAAGATCTGGGATTGGGGTAAGTCTATACGTGCTTAATTGGTCATTATTTTCACTAGTTTTTCTTAATATTTGTTGCTTGGTTTCTTGTGTTTTTGAGCCATTTATGTTATTTTTGTAGGTCAATTGGTACAAAAGGTGATAGAGAAATAATTTTTGAAGAAATTGAACAAGATGGAATTCGAATCCAAACCCTATAAATTATGAATTCTTTTTTCTATCTCATTGGTCCTTATTTATGATATCAGCATATTGATTTACGCTTAGCTTGGATTCAAAGCTGGTGTTAAAGATTATAAATTGACTTATTATACTCCTTACTATGAAACCAAAGATACTGATATTTTGGCAACATTTCAAGTAACTCCTCAACCTGGAGTTCGATACAAACTCTTTTTTCTTGAGGATCCATTGTAATAATGAGAAAGATTTCTGCATATATGCACAAATCGGTCGATAATATCAAAATCCGACGAATTTGCCCCAGCCGTCGAGCGGGGACAAAAGTCTTCCTTAGTGATCCGACAGTGCCAAGTGGAAGGGCTATTGCTCAATAGATAAAAGTTACTCTAGGGATAACAGGCTGATCTTCCCTAAGAGCTCACATCCCGGGAATTGTCAAGTGCTAGAGTATGGCTGTAAAGATACGTCAACTAGAATAATTTGTGAAGAACAGTCCAGAAAGAGCCAAGTGGTGACTCATATATAGATGAAAAGATCTGGATGTCTAGTTTTCAAATAATTTTACAGTTTGTGATTCCGATGTCTAAAGAAGAAGTTATTAGATTTTTGGTGACTGCCGCTCAATTAAAGATTTTACGCAGGTTCTGTGCTGATTCTATGGTATAAGATGTGATGTGACTGATTTGCAAGATTGCCATTCAGAATGATTTAGATGTTAATCATGGACCTTTTAGGCATGTATTGAATGATATACCTACACTGTTACAACAGGTTCCAGCAATGGAAGGCACAATTTATGCAAAGAGGTGCCAATATTGTGGCTCATCAGCTAGCTCGATGTAGTTTAACGTTCGAGCGGTCAGTTTCTTGGTTTGAAGAACCTCCTAATGTAATTTCTTATCTACTTTTGGAGGATAAGTTGAATTCTTAATTTTGTTGGTGTGGGATGCTCTTTTTCCCTTCATTCAGGTTCTTTTCCCAGGAAGGTTTTTATCGAGGCCCCTTGTTAGCACCTCTTCCCTTTGTTTGTGCATTGTTCCATCATGAAATGAATATC